CCCTGCCTTCCCCGTCAGCCTCAATCTACACAATCTCTCTAGCCACCCCAGGGCCTTTTCACAGGCTGCCCATCCCCTCGGGCCTTCCTCCTCTACTTTTCACTAGAAAAACTCCTGCTTATTCTCGGGTCTCTGCCTCAGAGGGGCTATCTGCAATATTCTTCTTTAAGTCATGTCTTCTGTGGTCTTTCCTCTTAGGATACCCTGTTCTCTTCCTCCACAGTATTTATCACGATACATGGTTATTTATTTATGTGTTCATTTGTTTAATGTCTATATACCCCAGGAGGCTGTGGGGTATATAGACATTAAACAAATGAACACATAAATAAATAACCAAGGATCGTGTCTGTTTTGGTCACCACTGTTTACACTTGTATACCCAGAACCTGGCACATAGCAGGTGTTAAAAAATATTTACGAAAAGTATGGATAGACTTTAAAGACAAGGAGGAGAAAAGCAGTTAGAGCTTTCCCCATGCTCACTGAATGTCTTACAAATAAAATTACAATCAAATAATACCGTGAAAAACACAATGGAACACCTTTAACACAATAACTTTGAGGTACCTTCCCCCTTCTTAGTCATTCCCCTCCATTGCCATAAACAGGTTAGGGTTTATCCAGAGGATTGAACTATCCATGTCCCACGCTGGAGTGGGAGGGGACTGTGGCTGGGTGACAGGTAGGAGGGTTTCCAGTAAGGCTCAAGGGGAATCATATTTAAGGGGAATCCCGAGAAAGGAAGGACTTAACAATATTGCTCAAATTTTCCAATCTGTTACGAAAATCTTATGAGTATGTTTAGAAAACTTAAATGTATAAGCACTAACACTGACTGCTTGTAATTTGTGCATTACACATCTCTGTGGTCCTCTAAGTGACTTCCCTGCATCCAGCTCTCCCAGAAAAACGGCTCTCTGGCCTTTATTTCTTTTTAATAACCCAAATTTCCTTTGGCAACTTATAGCATTCTTCTATACTTACAGCTCTTCAAAATAGTTAGCCTTTATTAATATTCAAATCCTTTCAAATACAACCAAACCCCCCCTTAAATGTTAAAGACATTTAGGAAAATGACTCTCCACCACTCACACTCTCTCTTCATATCTGGAAGACTATTCCAGTATTTTTTTTATATATATATTTTATTGATTTTTTACAGAAAGTAAGGGAGAGCCAGAAACATCGATGAGAGAAAAACATCCATCAGCCGCCTCCTGCACACCCTCCACCGAGGGTGTGCCCGCAACCAAGGTACATGCCCTTGACCGGAATCGAACCTGGGACCCTTGAGTCCAAAGGCCGGGGCTCTGTCCACTGAGCCAAACCGGTTAGGGCTATTTCAGTATTAAGTTGCATGATATTTAGTTACACAATGGCCTTCTAGTCACCAGCCTTAATGAATATTTATTTTAATCTGTTAACTGATAATTTCCCCAAATTTTGTTGCTCTTACCATGCTAAAAAAAAAAAAAAAAAACACACACACACACACACACACACACACACAGTTTTAATTGATCTAGAATCCCACACTACATGAGACTAGAGAGCTGAGCAGAGAACCCTACATGTTAGTCACCTGATTCTGCCTCTCAGATTCAGGTCTGTTTTATGACCAGGAGACTTAACTGATTCCCATTTAACCGAGGCCCAACTGAGACCTGAGAGGTCTTTAATAGGTAAGCGTTAAGTGCAAAACCAATTCATTCTATGTATTCTTAAGTAAAGGGACTATGTATGACTCTTCCCTATTAAATGTACCCTATCCTACGTCAGTCTCTGGTGCTTCAAAGATGTGTGTCATCACACTAAAGTCAAGGTCTGTGAAATCTGAGTCATTATAAAAAGTATATTCTCTTGACTCCAAAGATACAACTGATGGAGGCTTATCAAAAGAACAAGTGGAAATATTAGCACAGTTAGCTCTTAATGCCTTGAGTTTCAGCTTCTAGACTCATAATAAAAGTCATACTCTATAACAGCAACCTTATTTGCTAGAGATGCACACACGCACACACACACACACACACACACACACACACACAAACCTACAGACCAAGATTTGAGCTTTTGACCCTGGCCAGTGTTGCCAAGTGGTTAGAGTGTCTGCCTGGGCACCAAAGGGTCACAGGTTCAATTTCCAGTCAAGGGTACATACCTCAGTTGGGGTTCACTCCCTCTCACCCCACCCACCACCCACCCCCTGTTGGAATGAGAGTGGGAGGCAACCAGTCAATGTGTCTCTCTCACCTCACACCTCTCACCTCCGTCTCTCATCTCTCCGTCTTTCTCTCTTTCTCTTTCCCCCACCCCCTTCCACTCTCTGAAAAGCAATGGGGAAAATATCTTCAGGTGAGGATTAACAACAACAAAATTTTTTTAATTTTGAGCTTTTGTTTTGTTTCTGGTTTTTAATGTCTAAAGTGGAGTCAAACCATTAATGACTAGTTCAAATAACTTCCTAGCCCAACCAGTTTCTGTTAAAATTCCGTCTCTCGTGTATATCTCATTTTCCAAATCCCAGCTATCTTGAGGGCCCAAGTGATGGACCCTGGCATCAGACAGAGTTTGTTTAACTGGGTTCCCAGCACCTCGGAAAGTCTCAGGAAATGATCAATGGAATGCCTGTAGTTTCACCTACTGCTAGAGGAGCAAATAAGAGAAGCCTTCCTTAGTGATTATAAAAAATAAAAATAAAATAAAAACATCACTAAGTGCTGTTTCCTACAAGCTGATACTTCGACTAAGGGGTAATCGGTTCATATAATAGTGGCAGGAGTAACCAATCTGGGTTTAGGATTACAACGGGGAGGATGTGAAAATGAAGATGCAAAGCCTAAACACTTCCTGAAATAGGGAATTTAAGGAGGTTTTCACTCCTCACAAAGCAGTAACAGAACTTTTTGAGCCTATATATGGGCCCCCTGAACCCAGGAACCCAGAAACAACTGACAAACATTAATTAAGTCAGGACACAAGCTCCATTTAAATAGGGAAACGGGTTTTGAGAGACCGAGCAGCCTGAGGCCCAACCATGAGTCAGGACCAGACCCAGGGAGGGCCCAGAAGCCCACCTCTGGCAGGGAGACGCTCTCTTTCTTTCAAGGGAGAAAAATGCTCCCGTAAGAAACAGATGGCAGAGACAGATGATAATATCCACACATCTTGGGTTGGGACCGAATAAAGGACCGCCAATGGCTCCCAGTTGAAGCCGGAAAGGAAACCAACCCAAGGCTCCAAATGTCATTTAAGAAAATGAAAAATGAGCACAGCTTCGGCCCCTCCTCAGCAAAGACGCTGTTCACCTGATGGCTTGTAAGCTGATGCCATGAAGATACTCCATCCATCCTCACCTACGGCTCTCCATCTTTACCTGATTTGAGTTCAGAAATACCTATTCATCTTTGGCCAGATAAGCGAATCGGGTATTATATTTGCAAGCATGCGCGCTGAAATTGGACCCACCCTACAGAGAAAGGAGTCTGGTAACTTCAGACCCTCTGGCTTTTCCTGTCTCCTTCGCAGGAGAAAGTTAAAAACCTGTTGGTATCTAAAGCACAAAATGTGAATCAGTGTGCTTCATAAACTGTGGGGGCTAGGGGGCAACATGACTAGCTTGCATATTTAAGGTCCAGCAAGTAGTCAATTGAGCAAAGCAAGGCTTAGGTTTGGGTATACAAGATGAACAAATGCTCCATTCCAAACACGTGTGAAAGACAACAGATAACTGGGTAACATCTTGGAGTGAACTGAGTTTTGCCCAGTTTTTCCTGTAGGAGTGAGTTACTCTAACTGACAGTGGTTGGCAAACTCATTAGTCAACAGAGCCGAATATTAACAGTACAACGATTGAAATTTCTTTTGAGAGCCAAATTTTTTAAACTTAAACTTCTTCTAATGCCAATTCTTCAAAATAGACTCGCCCAGGCGGTGGTATTTTGTGGAAGAGCCACACTCAAGGGGCCAAAGAGCCACATGTGGCTCTCGAGCCGCAGTTTGCGGACCACGGCCCTAACACATAACTCTTGACTGGGAACTATGGGTGAGAAGCCATCTGGAGGGAGTAGGGCCAGAGAGAACTTGACAAAGAAACACAATGCCTACCTCCCAGTTGAGTGGGCCAAGGGCAGACCCTGGCTCCAGCCATCGCTGAGAAATCCTTACTCATGTGGGGCCCAGGCAAACAGGGTTAAATATTTTTCAGTCTGAAGGTGGTGCATTCTTTGGGGAGGGAGGGGTAAATTCTCTTCACCAACTACCGGGACCCTGGGAGGAGGTGGGGGTTTGTGGGAAAGATAGCCATCACCTGGCAACCTGCACACCCCATTCCTGGCTACCTGCACACCCCATTCCCGGCCCTCACCCCCACCCACTCCTCACTGTAACGCCCCGCTCCGTCCAGGGGTGAGCCTCCGGAGCCAGGGAGTGTCAGTGGGTTACATTCCTCCAGTTAATCCTCTCTGAGCCAAGGCCAGGCCGTTCCCAGCTCCTTCAGTGCCCAGGGCAGTGACATACCTAGGAGGCTTTACCTAATGAATGCGAATATCAAATACACACACTACCCACACTAATAACAGGAATTCGTCGGGCCACCTGTAGTTTTCAGTTCATCAAAGATGCATGAGGTGCTTGCTTACTGAGTTTCAGGCGCTGAGCGAGGCCAGGCAGATACAGAATACCCCCCCCCGCCCCTCCCTCCCTCCCTGCGTTCGGAGCCCTCACGCCGGGGAGCTGGCGCGGGGGCCGGAGGGAGGAGTGGGAGCTGGGAGAGAATGCTCGTGCTGGTCCAGGGGTTCCTCCCGAAAGGTGTCCCTCTGTCCGTCCCCCTGAGACCCAGCAGCGCCTGCACTCCGCCTTCTAAGAGGATCTCTGCGCCCCGGCCACCTGCACGGCCCCCGCCGGGCTCCCGGTCCTCCCCCGGGTCCCGATCCTCCCCCGGGCTCCCGGCTCCCGGGCCTCCCCCGGCTCCCGGGCCTCCTGCTGGCCGCACTCACTGGGTCTTCCTGCGGCCCTGGTCCCGGTGCAGCTCCCGCAGGTCCACCTCCACGCGCCCCAGGAACTTGTCGAGGCCGAGCAGCGCGCGGTGCAGCACGGTGAGCTGCAGGGTGGCGGCGGCGGCGGGCGCTGCCCCGGCGGACAGCAGCGGCGGCAGCTCGAAGGTGGCCTCCTCGCGCCACACGGGCGCGCCCAGGCTGCGCTCCGACACCGAGGTGGCGTACTTCTCCTTGCCCACCTGGATCACCGCGTACGCGTCGCTCGTGCCCCCGGGGCCCTTGGCCCGCAGGCCCCGCGCCTGCAGTACCGTCACCTGCACGTGGGTCGGGGACCACACGGCTCCCGGGCCCCGGCCCGCCGCAGCCGCCAGGGACATGGTGACAGCGCCGCGGGAGTGCTCTACGGAGGGATGAGCTGACCGCCGCAACCCGCGGCCTCTAAGCCCGCCCCGCCGGCCCGGCCTCTTTAAGGCTTCCGGCCACGCCCCCTACGGGCCACGCCTCCACGCCAGCTACGCCCCGCACTGCCACCCCGGCCTCCTTAAGGTTTCCGGCCACGCCCCTCTAGGCCATACCCCCAAGCCAGCCCCGCCCCACTGCCCCGGCCTCTTTAAAACTTCCGGCCACGCCCCTTATGGCCACGCCCCCCTCGCCCGCCCACCGGCTGCGGAGCAGCCCTGGGAGGCCTCGGCACCCGGGCTGCCCGGCGCGGAGGGCAGGGCGGGGCCGGAGAATGCGGGGCTGGGAGGCGGTGGTAGGTGAGCGATGGAATCCGCCACCGAGGTCTCCCGGCCCAACCGGAACTGGCGGAAGCCCAGGCTTGGGAGTCAGACCTCATTCCCAGTCCGGCATTGCCCACGTGTGGGACTTTGCACAGATTACTGAGCATCTTTTTTTTAAAATATATTTTATTGATTTTTTTACAGAGAGGAAGAGAGAGGAATAGAGAGTTAGAAACATCGATGAGAGGGAATATCGATCAGCTGCCTCTTGCACACCCCCTTCTGGTTATGTGCCCACAACCAAGGTACATGCCCTTGCCTGGAATCAAACCTGGACCTTTCAGTCCACAGGCTGAAGCTCTATCCACTGAGCAAAACCGGTCTCGGCACTGAGCATCTTGTGGTCTCAGTTTCTCTGCCGAACAAAAGGAGAGAACAGTCTAGATTTGCTGCAAAATATAATTGAGCCTGAGAAACTCAACTACAGACTGATTCATTTGCCTCTCAATGAGTAACCATTATGGTTTGCCTCGTTTTCGGTTCTTATAAGTGTATTTCTTGGATCACATGATCTCACGCATCTAAGGGAAATAATGAGCAACATAAGCTGAAGAACAAAAACAGACCCGGTGACAGGGAAGCATTGATCAGACTGTCAAACCTCAGAGGGAAGGCAGGGGAGGGTAGAGGAAAGGGGGAAGAGATCAACCCAAGGACTTGTATAAGCCTAACCAGTGGCCATGGATAACAGGGGGATGGGGGCATACAACATGGGGAGGGGTTTGGGATGGGAATAGGGGGATGAGGACAATTGTGTGATACCATAACCAATAAAGAAATTAAAAATATATATATAATGGATCCTGGCACTTGGTGGATTCTCATTGCATGGTGGCTATCAAAGTGATAAAGAACATGACCCCGAACTCCGCCCTCTTTGGCCCCGGGGTGATGACTGTGGAAAGCGGTGGGTCCTGGGATGGTGCCAGGTGGGTGGGGAAGGAGGAGGCTCATTGCAAAGCCTGAAAAGGGGAAGGTAGAATGGAGGGGGTGGGACAGGAGGTTGGAGGTATCCTATGTTGCCCTGCTCTCACCAAATAAGGTGAGGCTAAGAGTAAATTTGAGAAGGGGAAGAAAGGGGAAACTGAAGACGGGGTTGCCAAACTAGACGTCAGGAACAGAGGCTTCTTCGCCCGCCCCCGGTTCCTTCTCCCTGGCTGGATGGACCCTCTTCGGTTTCCTCGTTCTTTATCTCTTGACTCCAGTTAGCCATTCCCTTGCTCCAAATGTCCACTAGATTGGCCTATTCCCTCCATTCCCAATAGCCTACTTCAAAGGCTTAGCTGAACCATCAGATTAAAAAGCTCACTTTGAAAGTTTTTAGGTTTTACAGTTAAGAAAAGGCCCAGAGCAGAGAAGTGATGGGTTCAAGGCCCCACAACAGATCCAAGACTAGAACCCAGGTGTCCTGACTCCCATCCAGGGTTTTTACTGTATCCCTTGCCTCTTCCGGATCCTCAGAACCCCAATCTTGGATTGCCACTAGTATCCCCCTGACCTCCAGGCTCCCTTCAGTCCACACTGCACACTGCTGCACTAACCCGCTCGAAATCCTACAATGTTGCCTCGCCTGCATCAACTTCAAACTTAGAGATTTAAAGACATTCCCATTTGATCCCGCCCTGACTCATTCTCCTCTATCTCCTGAACAAATTGTAGCACAGAGAGTTTCCCCATCTCCAGGCCTTTTGCTCTTAGCTGTCTTGCCAGCCTCTTTGACTACTGGAGTCCTACCCACCGCAAAGTTTCACTCAGATTTCTCCAAGATTTGGCTTCTGATAGCCCCCTTCAGGGTAGGAGCCAGGTGGTAACTTCTTTAACCTGTCTCTTCCACGGCCCCTAGCTGAAGCCTGAGTACATAGTAGGTCCTTGAGAAGTGCTATGGAATGGAAGAGTTGGAGGTTATTCCAGCCCATCATGAGTGCACAGTGTTCTCTTTTCCCGTGTAGGGAATTACAACACAGACATTACGCCTCAGATTTGCAACTGAGGGCGGCTACAGTGTGGGAAAAGCCTATTTAGCACGTTGTAAATAGTTAATGTGATGAGAAGGGAAAAGCAAAGGAGGCACCAGACACGTAAAAGTCAGGAAAGCTTAACAGAGAACTCTGTTGTTCTCGTGCTATTTCCCCTTCCTGGCCATTTATTAACCTCATTCAACCTCACGGCTCCATTCATTACTATAAAGATTTATTGAGTACTTGCTTCGTGCTGGGTATTACCTCTGAATGAGACCCACTTCCAAGGCACACTATGGCAAATGCTATAAAAGAAGTCCTGGATTAATATAATGCTTTGGGTGATTTGAGGAGAAAGTGATTTCTCTATGCAAGTAGCTTTTCATGAAAGATGTCATGTGGAGGTGGGCCTTAAAGGGTATAGCAGATTTGATGGGTAGAGAAAATGATGGGGAAAGAGCATTTCAGAGGAAGAGAACGGACCAGCCTAAGCAAAGGCATGGGGTCCAGAGAGTTCATGGCATGTTTAGGGGTTACAAGTACCCCATGGGGGGGCTAGAATGCAGGATATTTTAGAAGTCACTGGGGACAGATGGCGGTGATAATAAGATGGCCAAGGAAGTTGGGCCCAGATCACCAGCTCCAGACTAAGGAGTTTACACCACAGGGTTAAACCAGGTGAGCCAGCCTTCAGAGGACTTTGAGCAGGGGTTGGATCCAGCTGTGCTTCAGGTTGTAAGGCAGGTCTGAGCAGAGGTAGCTCAGCAGCCAATAGCAGAGCAGGTCACAGCCAGATAACCTTCCTTCATGTTCACCTGGGGACATCTGCCTGCAGCCCCTTTCTGTCCCAGCCCTTACCCATGCTTGGTGACTGTTCTGTATTGGTACTGTATCAAACAAGGCATGTTTTTCCCTCTTGGTTGTCCTACCTGTCTACTGTTCCACTAGTGATTGGGGTCAAAACTGACCCTGGGCAGAAAGTTTTTCAGCTCCGGCCTCCCCTCCTCCCTCACATTCTCACTGTTAGTACAGCCCCCATGATACAGAGAGCCAGGAATGAGACCCAGCTGGAAGCCTCGCAGGCTGAGTATGACACGACGCATTCCTTCCATTCATGGAAAGGATTAGCGACACAGTGTGGGGGAGGGGCGCCATGGTGAGGGGAGGGAGAATTGTGAGCACCTGTGACCTCACGTGTCTGGGTTTCTGTCGGACACAAATAGGCTGTGTGCTGAAAGGAGAGGTGGTAGGCGGGTTCGATTCTGATCAGGGGCATGTGCCTTGGTTGCAGACACATACGCAGTGGGGAGTGTGCAGGAGGCAGCTGATTAGTGTTTTTAACTCTCTCTCCCTTCCTCTCTGTAAAAAATCAATAAAATATATTTTTTTAAAAAAGAAAGAAAAGAAAGAAAGAAAGAAAGAACCTTCTCTCCAGACACTGGACACTAGCAGAGTTAAAACTCAGAGGAGTGGGGCTCACTGGAGGCAGCAATTGGACTTCGGCCAGAGAAGAGAGTCTCCAGGAGATCCAGAGCGGGGCATGCTTGGGAATTGGCTTACTGCTTCTTGGATGCCTGGACGGTCCTTTTCTCCCCTCCTCCGGTCAGAGCACACTGTCCCTGGAGACTCACTCATTGACCGCCCCGGAGTGAGAATCTGTCTTCTCCCCACTTCACAGACTCGGTCTGCAGTCCTGGGACGATGGACCCTGCAGGCTCACCGAATTCCGGGTGTTTGCAAACACTTCCCACAGCCAGGGTGTGCCTGGTGACTGCTTTTTCCTCTCACCCTGCCCCGCCTCTCACTCTGACTGAAAGAGGAGTTTCAGTCAGCCCAGAGCACAGGGACAAGGCGCCAGGCAGGTTAGACTGGACAAGTTAGCCACCTGTCCTCTCCCAAAGCAGCAGAGCAGAGAGGGCGCCGACTCCAGCAACCTGACCCCGGGCCTCTCCGCAGGCAGCACTTACGGGTGCAGGTAGGTAGATCAGGAGCAGATTGTCTTGTAGGCGCAGCTGGAAAAAATTTCCCTCTAGGACATTGTGTGGGGCCATGCTAGGGGCGGTGAGGTTGGACAGGCCTAGGGAGGGACTTTTGCTACCCCGCTACTGCCAATCACTCCTGCCCACAGCTCTTCACTGTCCCCCAACTGCAAGAACGCTAACTCAGAATCATCTCTGGGGACTCCGGATGGGCCAACATGCTATCCTAAGGGAGGAGCACAAAGGGGCTGGGAATGGCTGCTTGACTGTCTCCTTTGTCTCAGACACTGAGGTGTGGTGACAAAAGTCCACACACATGACTCATTCACTGTGGACCTTGGTAAATAGCCCTCTGGTTTCTCTAGGTTCTTGGCTATTCTCGGACCACTCAGCTGACCAAGGAGACTACCTTTCAGGCGTTAGCTAAGGGGCTTCCAGCCTCACAGACGAGGCTCACCAGTTCCCATTCAATCTTGTTAACGGGCTTCTTTGTTTAACAAAGCTTTCCTCATAGGTTACACGGAGGTATTATCTTTCCACTGTGTCAAGTCCCTTCCAAAAGGCCTTTAAATCTCCCAACTAAAAGGCTATAGGGAGTGTGTACCCCTTACCCTCCCACTCTCAGCACAAAGCCTTTCCTCTCTCTCTCCCTTAATTCCTAGCTCCATGGTCGGCAAACTGCAGCTTGCAAGCCACTTGCAGCTCTTTGGCCCCTTGAGTGTGGCTCTTCCACA